AGAACTCCGAGGCCGACATATTATCTAAGCTCTCGGCAGACTCCCCCGAGCACATCTCCAAAATTGCCAAAATCGAGGAACTCAGCCTCTCAAGCATCCATGCAAGCCCCGTTATGAACATACAACAACGTCAGGAGGATTGGATCTCGGATATCACCGCCTTCGTCTCCACAGGGCAGCTACCCGAGAATGAGGCCCGCGCTAAACTGGCAAAGCTGAGGGCTCCTAGCTACACCATCGAAGATGGGAGGCTCTACAAACGATCTTACAATGGCACGCTACTTCGGTGCCTTCATCCAGATGAAGCCGAGGTCGCAATGGAGGAAGTGCACAGTGGCACTTGCTCAGCTCACCAGGGACCCTTCTCCATGTCCCGAAGGCTCATTCTCCAGGGCTACTTCTGGCCAACCATGGCCAGGGATTGTGCTGACCTTGCCCGGAGGTGCACCGCATGTCAACATTTCCAGAAAGCTCCCGGCAGGCCAGCGGTCAACTATGCCCCCATCAGCACCTCTGTCCCCTTTTCTCGATGGGGGATAGACCTTGTGGGCCCTCTGCCGAGGGGTACCTCAAACAACAGATACATCATCGTGGCCGTCGACTACTTTACCAAGTGGGTGGAGGCTGAACCCCTCGCCAGCATCACAGAGGCGAAGTGCCGTCACTTCGTCCTCAAGAACATCCTCACAAGGTTTGGCGTCCCCCAGCAGATCATCTCCGACAATGGGACACAATTTGAGGCAGCCCCCTTCTGTGCCCTTCTGGAGGCATGGGGCATCAAACACACCTTCTCCTCCGTTGCCTACCCTCAAGGCAACGGGCAAGTAGAGAATGCCAACCGGACCTTGCTCGAGGGCCTCAAAAAGAAGCTAGAGGCCGAGGGCGGTGGCTGGGTGGAAGAACTCCACAACATCCTTTGGGCCTATCGCACCACCCCTCGGCGAGCAACAGGTGAAACACCCTTCTCCCTCTGCTACGGTTTTGAAGCCAAAGCTCCTACGGAAGTCACCCTTCCCACCCGGAGGGTAATCCAATATGACCCCGAGGTCAACGACAGCAACATGGCCCTCGACCTCCACCTCATTTCAGAACGCCGGGAGCAGGCCTTCATCCGGGCAGAAAACTACCGAAGGCAAGTTAAAAGCTACATCGACGCCAAAGTTCGCACCCGAGAATTTCAAGTGGGGGACTATGTCCTCCGGAGGAGGGAAGCCAGCCAACCAACCGAGGGAGGAAAAATGGCACCAAAATTCGAAGGCCCCTACATCATAGCAGCCATCATCAAACCCGGGACCTACAAGCTCAAACGCCCCAACGGGAAAGAAGTCCCTAGGCACTGGAATGTACACCACTTAATTAAATTTTACCAATAATGTAAGAGCGGCCAAGCCCTCATAACTAGTGAATGTACTATCCTATGGCCCAAGGCCTCCAATTTCGAAGAATGAAGATACATTCAAGACATCAAGCCCTCATACTGACTACAGGCCCACCGCCTCACCACGAGAAAAACCCCCTCCGGCACCAAGTGCCGAGGGTGGACGCCATCAACACCTACAACATCAGTGAAAACACCACGTGTTTTCAGTCAAGACCCCTCGGTACCAAGTGCCGAGGGAAGGAACTCCTATCACCAACAACAAGGAACGCCATGTGTTTCATTTCCCTTCGGCACCCAGTGCCGAGGGTACATCCCCACCTTCAACATCAAAAAAGAAAAGATGAGAACACCAAGTGTTCCTACAGAAGACCCTTCGGTACCCAGTGCCGAGGGTACACTTCCATCATCAAACATCGAAACGAAGAAAAAAAACACCAAAATGTTTCAAAGAAGACCCCTCGGCACCCAGTGCCAGGGATATGCTCTCCTATCAACTTCCAAACATCTGTTGGGAAACACCGAGTGTTTCATTTGAAGACCCTTCGGTACTAAGTACCGAGGGTAGACGCCTACATCAACTACGACAAAAGAGAACACCAAGTGTTCCTACAGAAGACCCCTCGGGGGCTACACATCGAAACTAACACCAAGTGTTGTTTCTAAAAGCCGTACCCCACGAGGACGCATATACCGAAGGCGCCACCATCGGTGCCGGCGGCACGTAGTGCCCCCGACCATTTGCAACTAGTGTGCAAATGAAAACTCTTCCTTGAAACGCTTTCCGCGTCACTACCCCCAGGGTATGACAGGCATGAGAAATGCCCAGGATTCGACTTTCAAAAACGGAACGCTATCCGCGTCACTACCCCCAGGGTATGACAGGCATGAGAAATGCCCAGGATTCGACTTCCAAACCGAAACGCTCCCCGCGCCACCACCCCAAGGGTGTGGCAGGCCAAGGACTATGTCTAGCGCCGAGGGGACGACTTTCAAAAATGAGGCGCTTTCCGCGCCATCCCCCAAGGGGAGGCAGGTTACGGACCACCATATCTTGTGCCCTAGAAACGTCCCTCGATCCCCTCGGAACTCGGAAGGTTAACCCGAGGGAGGAGAGCCATTGGTGTATTCTGATGGTCTCCTAATAGGCCCAGCCTTACCAAGAAACCAAGTTTCTTGATGCCTTCCCTTTACCACCAACCAAAAAAAGGGGGGGGGGGGTGAAGGGGAGTAGACTCAGCGAGAAATCAAAGAGTACACTCCAACAGATCACAACATCCCGAGGGCTCCCCACGGGGACACCTCCGGTAATTGAAGGCTCCTATTTCCCGAAGGATACCACTCAAACAAATATCATCAGGAAACGGCTAAGTCCACTGCCTGGTCACCTCCGGTCACACAGGCACCAAAGGCTTCAGCAAGGGTCGAAATCTACACCTTTTAAAATGGCATGCCGAGGGCACACACTCATCGTTGGCATTCTTCACAACAACAGGATTCCACACATATTTGGCCCTCAGCCAGAGACTCATACAACACAAGGGATCTACATCCGGAAGCTCAACACCAATTTACGCTTAGAAAATATTCTAAGTCCTAAATTAGTAGCCCCCAGGCATCTCGCAAAGTAATGCAGAGTCAGATGGCACCTATCACCCGAAGGCTACACAAAGAAACAACACTTGAAAAAATTCCAAGTCCTAAAATTGGGCCCCCGGCTCAATCAACATTACAGCCAGGGGAATACAATAGCCGAAGGCTATGCGATACAACAACACTTGCAAACAAAAAAAAATTCTATGTCCTAAAGATGGGCCCCCGGCTCAGTCAGTATTGCAGCTAGAGGAATATGACAGTCGAAGGCCATACATCAAGAAGGGATGCCATCTCTCGAAGGCTCTCAAGGGAAAATCCACACTTAGAATGTTTTCTAAGTCCTACATGCTTTTTCCCGGTCAACTACTCATACATCAAGGAGGGATGCCATCTCCCGAAGGCTCCCAAGGGAGATTTTACACTTAGAATATTTTCTAAGTCCTACATGCTTTTCCCCGGTCAACTACTCATACATCAAGGAGGGATGCCATCTCCCAAAGGCTCCCAAGGGAGATTTTACACTTAGAATATTTTCTAAGTCCTACATGTTTTTCCCCGGTCAACTACTCATACATCAAGGAGGGATGCCATCTCCCGAAGGCTCCCAAGGGAGATTTTACACTTAGAATATTTTCTAAGTCCTGCATATTTCCCCCCCGGTCAACTACTCATACATCAAGGAGGGATGCCATCTCCCGAAGGCTCCCAAGGGAGATTTTACACTTAGAATATTTTCTAAGTCCTACATGCTTTTCCCCGGTCAACTACTCATACATCAAGGAGGGATGCCATCTCCCGAAGGCTCCCAAGGGAGATTTTACACTTAGAATATTTTCTAAGTCCTGCATATTTTCCCCCCCGGTCAGCTACTCATACATCATGGAAGGATGCCACCTCCCGAAGGCTCCCAAGGGAACTCTACACTTAGAAGATTTTCTAAGTCCCACATATTTCACCCTCAACTTATAAAGGGACCCAATAGCCGAAGGCTACCTATCAATCGAAGGCTACAATACACAAGGAATCAACGCTGAAGAGAATTTTCTAAGTCCTAAAGAATTGGCCCCCGGCCTAATCAATATTTCAGTTGGGGCTCCACAGTAGCCGAAGGCTACATGACATACTACACTTGCAAAAAATCTCTAAGTCCTGTGCATTGGGCCCTCGGTCCAACATTCGCGCATCAGGAAGGGATGCCATATCCCGAAGGCTCTCAAGGGGAAATCTACACTTAGAAATTTTTCTAAGTCCTAGGATTCGGGTTACTACAAACGCCCGAAGGCCTCATGCTGTGCTACACTTAGAAAAAATTTCTAAGTCCTAATTGCTGCTGAACCCTCAGTTGCATATCCATCAGAGGGCGCCCAGCTACCGAAGGCTTCCGGGGGCAAGCCACAATCAGAAAACATTCTAAGTCCTAAAACACACATTCAAGAAGTAGAAGGCATACATTCAAAACATAAGGCGCATTCAAATGTAAAGAGCCCGGGGGCAGCATGCATTCATCAAAAACAAAGTAAGTGTGAAATTTACAAACAGGCCGAAGCCGAAGGATCAATGTTGTTCATTACAAAATATGTTCAAGGATTTCTAAGTACAAAGTCACTCTACAACTACAACAGCATCATTCATCCGATGCCCTCTGCAGCCGGCCTCGATGATGCCTCCGCTCCGGCCTCGACAGCGTCGTCCTCGGCCTCATTCTTCAACTCCGTGTCCTCAAGGTCGGGCCTCTGAACACCTTCCGGGAGTGACTCACGGACATCAGGCTGCAAGGGAGGAAGGCCATACGCCGAGGGGGAGAAATCCTTTTGCTCAATGCCCAAATGCCGAGCCATCCTCCGGTAAATGAGGGCCTGGGTGAAGAATTCGCCGGCCTCATAATATTCTCTGCCCTTCCGGGCCATCCATTCCCACCCGGGGCCCTCGGCCCATTCCTCGACGTATGCCTCCACGACCGAGGACAGCCACATCTTGCGTCCATCGGCCCTCCAACCCTCGGCGACGAAGGCATCAACGGCTTCCTCCCGAGCCTTGGCGACGGCTAGCGCCTTGGAGTCCTCGGCCTCTTTGGCAGCTCTCCTGGCCTCCTCAGCAGCGGCCTCAGCATCGGCCTTGCCCTTCTCTGCAGCCTCCAATCTCAGCTCCATTTGCCGAAGCTCCTCTTCCAGCCTGGCCCCCAGCTTCACCGCCTCCTTATTTTTGAGGATGCATTCCTTCATCTTGGCGTCCTGCTCTGCTTTATGGAGGCGCCATTCTTGAAGCCTCCGGGCATGTTCACCGAGGGCTAGACAAGCCTGCAGACCAACAACCAAAACGGTTAAAGGCAATTGCACAATATAATCAAAGGAGAAAAGGAAGAAAGCCGAGTAAACACTTACAGAAAGGGAGGAGCGGAGAATGTGGTCCTCGAGGGCCGCATCGTTATAGGCCCCGAGGGCAGCCCTATAAGTCTCAGGGGTTATGCCCCTCAAGATGGCCCCCGGGTCAACAGCGCCGCTGGCCAGGGATGTCCCCCTCGGGAACGAAACTTGGAGGACCTCAGGCAGCAACCCCTCTGCCCCCGCCGGCGTTTCACCCGACGGCTTCTCCACATGCACCCCGGAGGCGGGGTGCTCATCAGCAATGATGACCGGGAGCTCCTTCTCGGCGATATCCCCCTTATTCGGCTTTTTGGTAGCCGGGGGGGACCCCTTGGTCGCCGCCTTCCTCTTGCCTGCAGCAGCATCGCCCTCGACTTTCTTGAAGAGGGCAGTGGCGGGCTTCTGGCTGCCCTGTCCCGACCCCTTCGGGTCCTGTTTCTTCAGGCGAGCGAGGCCCTTCACGTTCACCATGGAGACGGGGATACCTGCAAAAAATATGACAAAGGGTTAGGCCGACGGGTCTAAGCGAAGGGACAATGACATCCAAGCAAAAAGAAAACTAAGTACAGAATTCTAAATCCCTCAGCTACTACCTCCGGAGGCTCCCTCAAACACTGGGAACTTCTCATCAGTTTCCCCCAGGAACCGGTACCGCCGGAACCCGAGGGTGTAGAGATCTGCTTCTTTGGTGCAATCCTTGATGGAGATATTCTTGTCCCGGCCCTCCGGGATCATGGCCAGAATCCTGCCATCTTTCTCGAGGGCGGCGCTCCTCCTCTTCTCGTGCCTCCTGAAGCGGTCACGCAGCTCCCTCGGGAAGGGACTCTCGGCTAGCTTCACATAGCACCACCGGTCCTTCCACCCCTTGTTCGAGGAGGGCACCTCAGTGAAGAGTTTGAACACGGACACCTGCTGCAGATTGGCGAATCCCTCGGCATTCGCGTGCCCCCCGGCACAGGTTGAAGCTCTGGAAGAAGAGGTCCAGGCTAGGCGTCACCCCCCGGGACTTACAAAGCTGAAGGAAGCCAGTGATATAAGAATGGTTGTTCGGGGTCAGCTGGCAGGGAACCAGACCGACGAACCGAAGATACTCCCGGAGGAAGGGGTGCAGGGGGAAGCGGAGCCCCATGGATACTGAGAGGACGTGCACCGCAATGCAGTCCTCGGGAGCCCGTGAGAGAACGTCATCCGGACCCGGTGTCACCACGATGGCCGAGGGGCCCACGTGAAGCTGGGTGACATAGATGTCCGCCGCATCAACCTTCGACTTGATCTCCAATGTGGCGGTGTTGAGATAGGAGTACCCCTCGGGCATATCGAGGGGCTTCCCTTGATCTGCTACGCTGCCCTAATTCTTGGGAACAGCGGCCTTGGCCTTCTTCTTTCCGGGGGCCACCCGGAGGGGGACCGCATTCAGCGGCCGAGAGGTGCTGGCCTCCCCGGCACCCCGAGGGGGGAGCACAGCAACGGTGACCCTCTCGCTTTCTCTTCGTGCCTCCTCTTCAGCTGCTCGCCAGGCGATGGCCAACTCTTCGTCCTCACATTCTTGCTCAAAGCCCTCGGCCTCCGCCTCAGCTACGAGGGCTTTCTGCAACTCCAGGGCAACGACGGCATCCTGTCCCACCGAGGACTCTGCACTTGAGGACTCCACGTCCGAGAGGACTTCATCCTCCACCGAGGGCGCCCCCGAGATATCTTGAGAATCACTCTGGGACGACATGCTGACTCTAGTTCGAAGGCTCGTAGACGCTAGTGTTTTCTAAATTTTCTCTCCTAACCTAAGGGCACAGTACAGGTAGCTAAGAAGTGAAGGGAAAGCGGGCACTGACCTTGAAAGCAGAAGTTTTGACCGAAGGCCTGAGTTTCTCTCACTAGAATTTTGGGCAGAGCTTCGCTAAGATAAATGATCGCACAAGGGGAAATGGCTCTGGCCTTGGGGTATTTATAGGCGCCGGAATCCGGGCTTGGGCCCGGAAACCGGGCCTCCGGACGGACCGTCATCATTACACACCGTCGTTTCACCCAACCGGTGACGCCGCCCACGAACAGCCAGCCATCACACGCCACGTGTGCCACCCCCCCAACGGCTATATCCTATCGTTACATATTCCAACGGCTATATTTCCAACGGCTATATTCTGGAAGCTCCCGGGTTTTCTACTTCACTCCTCTTCATCAAGGATAGCCTCCGGGTACACTCACTCAGAAGTGCCCCCAGGTTGTGCCCCGCACAGCACATAACATCCGCCTTCGGGATCACTCCTTCAGAAACCCGAGGCTTCATATCAGGGCACCCCTCGGGGTTTCCCCCTCAGCACTGCAAAACCGGGTAGCCCCCGGGGAGTGCCTCATTGACGGATGGCCCATGGCACACAGGTAATGGGAGCCCTCGGGTATCTTCATCACCAACTAATCAACAAACAGTGGACCCCCCGGAAACAACTCCATTTTCGCCCTCATCCAGCAGACCCTCGATCCCCGAATTGAGGGCCTCCCCTTCGGGGCCACCAGGACATCAACAGCAAGCCTTCGGCTAATCAATACAGGAGCCCTCAGAAGAGAGAGCCTTCGACATTCCCGTCATTCTCCACTTTATACCAAGGTTTGACATTTTCGATTCATCATTGGGGGAATTCGGTGCACTCTTTTTCCCTCATTAGGATTTTTTCCCAAAGGGTTTTTCCTAATGAGGTTTTTAACGAGGCATCCCCCCAAAATGAAACGAAAAAACAACAGCCTTCGGCCCACAACAGCGACGCAACTACTCTACTCCTTTTCACCACTTTACAAGTGCCTCAAGGAGTGGGGGACTGGAGGACCCCCTCGGGAAAATCATTAAATTACAAAAGATGTAGAAACTCCAACAAACAACAAAGCAAGCCCTCAAGTCCCGACATGTGGGTAACTGAGGGACTGCCTTCGGCAGGGACATAAAAGCAACAACTCCTCACCAACTTCAGAGATCACGACGGGACAACATCAAAGGGCAAGCACAAATTACTCCTTTTCCCTCAAGTACCTTTCGGCAAAAGGAGTGAGGGACTCCTGATGGAGTATATGGCCCGGGAACCCCCGGCCCATAGACTCCTACTACTCTAGCGAAGGCCCAACAGGCCCAAATCACAGCGCCCAGAGTACCAAGCAGTCCGCACAACGCGCCAGGGGTGCCTTCGACCCCCTGGCCGAAGGCTCCAAATTCTCACAGAACGGATTTCCCAAGCAAATTAAGAAACTGGGAGAAAACGGCGAAAACAGTAGCCCTCGGCACTGTGAGCCCTCGGCACCAGGGTGCCATCGGGTGGAAGAGCCCTCGGCTACTGCTCTATAACCGAAGGCATCTCACTCGACAAGATATCCGCCTCACATGCGTACAGATCACCGTACCCCGCACAGACGTCCCATCCAACAGCCGCATTAAATGCGGCCACATGCGGCTGCCAGCGCCAACCAGTTGAGGTGACCCCTCGGCCAATAAGCGCTTGACACGTGTCCCTGCCCGGCATTTATTGCTACTATAAATAGCACCTCATTTCCTCATTTGTAACCACGCTAAAAACGGCACTCAGACTGAATACACTCTCTCTCTACTTTTATTTACTTGCTCTGACTTCTCTCTAAGTTATTCCCCGTAATAACCCTTCGGATATATACCCCCGGGTAGACTATCCATCAGCCCTCAACTTGATTTGCTCCTCGGTGACTCCATTTGGGCACATGCTTGTGCAAACAATATGGAATTCCGAGAGATGTTTGTTTGGATCCTCGCCTCGTAGACCATGGAATGAAGGAAGTAAATGGATGAGCCCCGATTTGAACTCAAATGTAGCACCTTCATCAAGAGTAGGGAAGGTGATACATAGCGGTTGTTGGTTGAGGTCTGGAGCTGTGAGCTCCCTCAATGTTCTCGTTTCGAGAGCCATGTGAAAAGACTCTTCGGATTCGCTAGAACTAGAGCTAGCGGTGTATGAGTCTCTGGTAGATGATTCTTCCGAGTCGGTATTAGAAAATTTACTTTTCAACCGCTCGAAAGTTTGTTCTATTTCTGGGTTTTTGTGATATGTGATTTCGTTTATGGAACAATGTTTAACCATAAACTCCACTAAGCTTAGAAAAATAGAAGAATAAGAACTCTTTATATTTTATTTATTATTATTTTTTGAAATAAAATAAAATAAAAATTAATTGACTTTCCCCGGCAACGACGCCAAATTTGACGTCCCTTGTCGTGAGGTGCACTCAAAATAATTACAATACAACGATTATACGTAGTATAACGAAGTAAGGTTCGTATCCACAGGGAAAGGAATACTTTTCTTCTATATAAGTAGTAACAAGGGGGGTTTAGATTTGTTTGATTTAAAAATACTAAGATGAACAACCTATATGAGCTTGATTAATAGATGTGGTGGCTTGGTTTTGCTTTTATCCGCTTAATGAAATGTTCGTCGATCATGGTTATATCTTTAACTATCTTCCTCTCGAATACTCAATCGAGGAGTATATCCAGTTCATCGAGGGTAGTTATTAATAACGAGATGCGTTCATTAATAAAACTTACTATCGAGTCAATATAGAACAAGCGCCGTGTATTAACTTGATAGTAGCAATAAACTTAAGATGAAAATGATTGAGATTGATAAACTCAACACAAGCAGTTTATTGGTTTAATCAATATAATTAATTCCCCTTGGCATATTAACCATGAGATGCATGCATTAATAATCCAAGTTTACTACCGTTGAAAGAACCGGATTAATAACAAGCGTATTAACCGATTGATTCTAGTAATAATTAATATGAGAAACTAAACTAGTTGATACTTTAAGTAATGTTTAAAATATTAACATGAAATATGAATAGGAATTAATTAATACTCAAGGAAGAATATTAAAGAATATGAATCCTACTATGATTAATATCAAGATGTTAACTAATTGTCATCTTAGTAACACTCTCCAATATTAACATAGAGGAAGAAATAACTATTACTATAACCAATGTCAAGATGTTAACTAATTGTCATCTTAGTAACACTCCCCAACTTTGATATAGAAATAGTATTTTAAAGGAAGAATTAATATTCAAGGAAGAAGATTAAAGAAAATAACTCACAACTTTCAAATTCATTAAGCTTCAAAGTAGCAAAACCAAGATGGAAGAGTTTAGCTCCTCATTTGGAGACTAAACATGATGAAAAATATAAAGAAAGAACTATTCTATACTGAGCTTAGATGTACAAAGGAATTGCATCCTCATTTGTGAAGGAAAGGGGGTGTATTTGTAGGCTTTTGGGATGGGATTCGGGTACTCGATCAGGTATATACATGGTACCCGATCGAGTATGTGTGTAATACCAAATTCGAGGTATACTCGATCGGTTTTAGGCTATGTTCCAAAGGTATACCCGATCGGGTATATGTTCATACTCGGTCGAGTATGTGTAGAATGTTATATTCGAGCCATACTCGACCGATTTTACGTTTAAACTCAAAGGCATACCCGATCGGGTATGTCGGTCTACCCGATCGGGTATAGACACTCAATCGTGGCTGAAATCTTCCCGGCATGTTCCCTTGTCTTCGGATCTGATCCGATTTGAAGTTTCAACCTAATACCCGATCGAGTATAGGTGATACTCGACCGAGTATAGACCAAAATTTCAGGATCCTTCTTTTGTCTTCAAATTATGCACCTTCCTTCCACTTTTTGGGGTTCACCAACTGTCCTTTGAGTGATCAAGACCTGTTTGAGCTCAGAATATACCTAATCTAAACTATTTACAAGAATTTAACAAACTATACTATTACACCAAAAGTGTGTAATTTCCAAAGTAAAAATCAATCAAAACTAATTAAAAACACAAACATACATATGGAAATTACAAACGTATCAGAATACAAGCTCACCATATTGATGAGTTGTTCTTTGTTGTCAAACTGTTGACCAACATCAAACTCGCCATCTTGTGTAAACCTTTTCACACCTGTTCCACTCTTCCATGCATAATCAAACTCGGATGGGAGATCATACACTCTAGTATATTGGCTAGATGGAGCAGTTGCAGTCACAATATCACCATCATCTTCATCTGATTCTGTCATTGCATCATCATTGATGTGTTCATCACCATCATCATCAGTTTCATGGCCATCCAAAAACGATGCACCATTGTGCAAATATCGTCCATCCTCCTCTACAACCATGTCCAAAACAACATCATTTGAGGACGCCGCTGCATTAACACCATGCCCAGAAACCACAACATTTGATGTTGACGGAGTTACTGAAGCGTCACCTATAAAATCTGAAACGTATTTCTCCATTGTGGTCATAGTCATCATTTGAACTATCGTCCACAATGCCGTGACAGCTTCCTCATCATCTAGTGGCATAAGCATGTATGATCCCCCGTGAAAGGGTTATTTCAGCTGCACTTGCAAAGAATGGCTCAAAGGTATCTCTGTAGCAGCATATAAATTTTGCACCATCTCACGCATACATGCGCCACGAGAAACAACAAACATCCGTCTCCTACAACCTTCATAGCATATACCCCTTCCTCAAATAATTTCCCTCTCCAATGACACACTATTGAGAAGTTGGAGAAATCCATATTCTAATAACAATACATGACGATAATTGATGAATACACATTAATATACACACTTTATACATCCAAATTCAACATTTCATAGACATAAAACATATTTATAAACTCTCATATTTAAGAAAATCCTATTACATATACCACACTTAAAAAAATCAAAATAATAAGTTTTTTAACAAAAAAAATCAAAAAATCACATTTAAATTCACATTACACAACAAATGCACAACAAAATCAAAAAATTACATTGAATTCAAGATTAAAATTCAACATTTCATACATATTCACATTTCACAACAAATCAATTCACAAATCAATTCCTAATTTAAAAATTCAAAAATTATCAATTGCAAACTCTAAGTTGAAAAATGAGATGAAGTTGGGGATTTGATTTACCTAGAGGTTGAAGAGGTTGAAGAAGATGGTTGGGGAGCATCCTTGATAGGTGGAATAGCCTTCTAGTCGCTATAGTCACCGGATTTGGCTGTTGAAATCGATCTTCGCCTGAGCTATTTAGGTTGTTGCACTCGTTCTTTTTATCTAATTTCGTTCTGCGCATCAGTTTATTAACATGCAAAGTCGCCAAATCGTTTGACGACTTTTCCCAACCCGAATTAAGCCCAACAGTATATCCATAAATACTTTTAGCCCAACACTATTTCGGTAAATACTTATTTAAATCGAATTATTCTGGAAAAAAACTTCATCATCATCATCGTCGTCGTCGTCATCGTCATCATCGTCATCATCATCAAATCGTGGTAACTTTTACCGTCTTGCCTACCGTTTGTTTTTACCGCATACAGAGTATAAATATGGGAAAAAGTGCATATTGACCATCAAGGTTTAGATGAAGAAGCATATTAGACATTAACGTTATTTTTAGAGCAAAAATGTCATTATTTAACCTTTTAAGGGCATATTGTCCACCCACTAACGTAGTAACTAACACGGTTTGCTATCCTCGGCTTCTTTAATACTTTGATGGTTATCAATACGGAAGTACGAGAACGTCACTTTAATCTAAACATAAAGAGTAAGTATTTAGACTTCTAGTTTATTCCTATTTTGGTTTTTTCTAGTTTCTTCTTTTATGTTTTTTAATTATTTCATACTCCGTATTGGTTTCTCAATATTTCAACACGTATTCAGTATTATTATCATTCACCCATATTTGTATAAATGTGGTTATACGTACATACATGTATATAAAAATACACATGCATTACATACATACACATATGCATATATGATATATACACATCCATACACATAGATCCACAATTTATTTTTAATTAAGGTGTTTGTTCTGTTCGTCTGTTTTTATTGCTTATTGCTTATTCTTATTCTATTTGGATTATATCAGAAAAATTCATATCAGGTAATTATTATTTTCTCTATTTTTTAATAGTTATAACATTGTGATTTTTGCACTATTCACACATCTTGTTTTGACCACAATTTTCTACTTATATATATAATCAAATTATTATGTATAAAATGTTACTCCCTCCGACCTCCATCCCTAATTAAACTTTCAATTTTTTTATTGGACGTTCCAAATTAAACTTTCACTTTTCATTTTTGGTAAAAATTTTGTTTTTCACAACTCTCAACCACACCATACCTACTATCTTAATTTTCGTATCAAATATAATTTGGAAGTTATTAAATATAATTACATTCAATGCGTTGATAAACATGAAAGTCAAACTGTGTTAATTATTAAAGAACGAGGATAATATGTACTAAAAGGAAAAATGAATTCAATGCAGGGTATAAAAAATTGATTGCAAGTGTATTTATGAATTACGTTTGTTGTTAGTTTGACACATTAGAATTAAATAAATGAGGTGGTGGGTACCACCTATCCATATTACTCCCTCCGTTCCAAAATAATTGTCCTACTTTGACCTTCACACAGATTAAGAAAATGAAGTTGACTTCACATTGTAGCGACACTGTTTGACACTGTACCGACACTGTTTTGCACTGTTTGACACTGTTTTGTATAAATTTGTTTACCAAATAAGGAAAGTTTCAAAATAGGATAATTATTTCGGGACGGACCAAAATGAAAACAAGACAATTATTTCGGGATGAAGGGAGTATCATATAACAAATTATGCCACTATTGCAAAGAGTGAAAGAACAATGTTTAAGAAAAGGAAAATTCCTTTTGTACACGTTAAGTTTTACACGCCGGGTTACACGCCTGTCAAATTGTCTGTGTAAAGACAATTTGATCGACTACACAGACATATTGAGCGGCGATTTACGAAGAAAATTGATTTTTACACAGACAAAAATAAAAAAATGTCTGTATCACAGACACTTTATGAAAAATTCAGGTTTACAATGTCTGTGATACAGACAACTCTTGATATTTTGTCTGTATGAAAATCGATTTTTTTCATAAAACGCGGGTCAAATTATCTGTCTAGCAGATCAAATTATCTGTATACGAAGCGGGACTCAATGGTTAATATGCCCCTTCTCCCTTCTCCCTATAAATATTAGTGCCGCCTTCACCTTGCTCCTCTTCACTCCAAAGTTCGTTCGCTCACTCACTCCGGCTAGCCCTAGCTTCTTAACTGCTGTAATTTGTAAATCTCAAGCACGTCTACTATAAGACTGTATGTATAACAACTCGCATTTCGTGTTTTTTACACTATGTATATTTATCTTCAGTTCAACTCCAGCATTTACTCGGCAAATGACTCATAAATACAATCATTGCACACTACCAATTGATATGTGCAGTGATAGATACAATACCGATTTGTGAGATCTTCTTTTTGCTGATATGTGTATTTCCCTTCTTTCTGCCCACGACTAACTCTTGCAATTTATACTTTAGTTCAACAATTTTATAGTTAAACTATCTGTATACAAATTAATTGTTGCTCTGTATTTGCCTTGTTTAAGCTAAGCTATCTGGACTATGGAGGAGCCAGATAGATTAAGTGAACTCCCTGCAGATGTACTTGACAAGATTATGGGATTATTGTGGATTGGAGAAGCCGCTAGATGTGCTGTCTTGTCCACCGTTTTGAGAGATGCTTGGTACAATCTTACCGAGCTTGATTTTGACGATTCCTTTCATCATAACATTTACCCAATTTATGATGGTGACCCAGCCACATGGCATCGTAAAATCAACAATTACCTCAAGAAGCACAATGGAAGCATTAAAAAGTTTGGCATTTATTTTAGTCTCCAAGCATATCAACGTGATTTTGATAATTTGTTCCTTTCTGTGACGAATAAAGGTGTTCAAGAACTCTACATTAACATATATAGCGATGATCCCATCAAATACAGGCTTCCTGCTTGCATATTTAAGTGCCCTACACTGAAGATTGTGCAAGCTTCTGGTGTTCAAATTGACCCCATAAAGGCCCGTTGCATATTTCCAAATGTCACTTCTATTTCTTTTAGTGATGTGGACTTCAGCCCTAGGAGTCGTCAACTTCATGCTGTTGATGTTCCAATGCTCCGAAATTTGATATTCAGAGGATGTGAAGACATCTCTCATTTTAACATCACTGCTCCAAAACTCCGTACTTTATCAATCAAAGGATGTTACATTGGCCATGATTGTGACAGTGACAGTGACAATTACTCCCAGAGTGATAGTGATGATGATGATGATTACTACTATGAAGATGATGACTCCCGCTATACAAATGACTATAGAAATGAATTTGAAAAGAGACTATTTGAATTCCTTATGTCTCAAGTAGAGGACGATGACGATGAAAGTGATTACAGCGACAATAGCGATAGCGGAGGTGATTATGATGATAGCAACATGTTTTGCTATGACCTTCTCAGTGGAGAAGACAAATCGGGTGGTGGTTTTCTCCCAGCGAACATGGATTTGGGATCTATACGTGCACTTCATTTGTGTTGTGATGGTATTGGGGTATGTGTTCTAAGCCATAAGTTTCACGCAAATTATTCATTTATTTAAAATGTTTATAACAAATAATCCAATTTTCATTGTATTGCTCTGCAAGGCTGTTGTTGATGACTTTAGAATGAGACTTCAAATGCCAGCGTTAGACGTGAAATACTTAAACCTCTCAGGTGACTATTTTCCAGATCCTGATAGTAACTCTAAGTTTGTGAGTTTGCTGCAAAGTTGCCCAAAATTATGCAAACTTGAGATATGTTTTGAGGTAATTCTTGTTTTCACACGTGAATTGTTCAGTGATGACTGATGACTACCTATCACAGTTTCAATTTGTTATTCTTTATGTTCAAATGCAGAGTTGATCATATTTATCTTTTTTGTGTAGCTTCATGGGTTTGAGTCCCCTGATTGTAGTGGAAGTTTTTCTGATCTTTTGGGAGGACAGCACAATCTACATTACAGACACAACGCCCTCCGAATTATGAAGCTTAGCTTACTCTCAGGGTCCAAATCTGAATTGCAATTTATAACGGGACTAATAGCTTGCTTCCCAACATGTAAGAAGGTGCTTGTTTGTTGTCCGAAAAGGTTCTGGTCCAGGGAGAAGGCAAAAATTAAAGAGGAGATTTTGAGTTCTTGTGGTGCCTCATCAGCAGTAAAAATCTATTTGAAATGAGAAGCCATTTGGTTTGATCCATCTCCTTAACTCTCATGATATGTAATGGGAGGAAGCTGATCTCTTCTGCTCTGAAGCAGCAAGGAATTTCAATATATATTAGTGTAAAATGATCTTTGCGTTTTTAGATGGTTTGTTAGAACGAAACTGAGTTTAATAATGTGGTAGAACTTAAGTGCATAGACTGGCTGTTCGTAATTGGGGAGAGAACAATTGTGCTCCCAACGACCCTCCCCTCCCTTCCCTTTACATGGATTTTTCCATTCTCCTTTTTAAGCAGTTCTATACTCCCTAATAACTTTGCCAAGTTTGATCGGCACGGTGATTAATAAAGTAAAAACTGTGTGAGTGAGGTTTGTGCAGAGGAGAGAGAATTAACCTAAATCACAAATTCTTTACTTAAAAAGGAAAACGGCAAAGTTAATGGGACATTAAAAAAGGAAAAGTTGGCAAAGTTAAAAGGGACGGAGAGAGTATTACTCTTGTTGGAAACTGTCAAATCATGGAAGCTGCTACAGTATCGTTAAAAAGGGACTGTTTGTATAATTGTATTTTAGAAAGTTCATACTTCATAGTGTTGAATTGTTGATAAAAAGGTCGTGCGAGTGTGCGACATTGCTATTCTAGTCATATAACTTTCTATTATCATCATTAGGTATGGACTCGGGCCGGGTGGCCCGACCCGGAACCGGCCCGGGACTGGTACTGTTCCGGTCCGACCCGGTGGCCCGGTCAGTGACCGGTCCGGGTAGGCCCGGCCCGTGGGTTTTCCGGTCCGGGCTCGGGTCACCCAAAACAAGGCCCGACCCGGCCGGGCCCGGGCCCGGTTCGGGCCAAAAACAATTTTTTTTTTTTTTTTTGCAATTTTTTTTAAAGTTTTGGGTTGGGCTGGGTATTTTGGGCCATTTGGGGTGGTTTGGGGGTTGGGGCCTTGGGGGTGGGAGGGGGGTTACTTAGGAAGAGGAAAACAAAAAAAAAAATATAATGGGCCCGGCCCGGCCCGGACCCGGACCGGACCCGGTGGTTACCCGGGCCGGTCCCGGGTCCACCATTTCTGACCCGCCGGCCCGCCCGGGCCTAGGCCCGACCCGGACCCGGCCCGGACCCGAGTCCAACACTAATCATCATCATGGATCTTGTAACTTTACTCACTTACAAGTTTGGTCTTGTAACTAATAAATCTTTGTATTTTAAGAACTTTTGCATGAGAAAGTATACTTTCCGGTAGAAAATTCGACGTTGATGGCATCTTTTTTGTTATAATTTTGCCGAAAAGTGTACTTTTCACGGGGAAATTTCTTAAATCGCAAAGATTTACTCCCTCCGTCCCATAAAATAAGTCCCACTTTCCCTTTTGGGTCATCCCAAAAAATTGTTTCAATTTCTCTTTTTGGAATGTTTTGTGTGACTAACATTTATTTACTTTTTTTTATTCAACCACAACCATACATTTCCACTTTATTCCCACTTTTTTAAACTCCGATCCAAATTGAAGTTGGACTTACTTTATGGGACCGTTGGGAGGAATGTAATATTATTTATAGACTAAATTTGGAAGTGTTTAAAGTTACGGGATTAAAATGAAAACGCCTGACAGTTACGGGATCAAAATTGCATATCTCCAAAGATTTTTTTGTGTAATAGAAAACGGTAAAAACATTTTAAAGCACTTCTCCGTTTGTTTCTAAGTTCTAGCTTTTAGCTGTTAAAGTTTTAGTTTAGGAAGATGTTACCGAAAACACTCCAATCCCAATTTCATGTTTTCAATCTTTTTAAATATAAAATCGAAAAGTATTTTTTTTAATCTTTTGTAAATACTTCCTTAAATGGTTTTGAATTAAAATGTGAACGTGTTCGTGTAACCCTTTTTAGGATATTTAATTCGATAATGACATGATAAGGATAAATATTTATATTATTACAAATAAGGAAACTATACCTGCCCTACCTCAAATTTTAATTTTGATTAAATTATTAGGGTATTTTTTTTTAAAAAAATCTTTGTACCAACTCATCTCAATATATTGTGTTGCCTACGCTAGTGTATACAATATGTATGAGATTCAAGCTAAGAAAAGTGAACTCAATCCAAGCTAAGTCATTATTCTCTTTGATTCCCCTAGACTCTAGAGCAATTTTAAGGAAAAAGGTCAAATAGACTCTTTTAATATATTTAATCAATCACTTAATTTTATATACTAAAAAGGTTGAAATATGTTTTTAGCCTCTGCGAATATAACACATTTATTTTTGCATCCTTGCAAATTTATTTTTTTGTTTTTCATCCCTGAAATTTACTGATGATAACAACCTCCATTTGACCTCAAAATAAGCACGACTAATAGGTTTTCTCTAATTCTTTGTCATGTTATTCAAAAGTTTTTTATTTTATATTTTAGAAGGTTTTTAAAACTTACTTTTAAAATGTGAATAAATAGTTTTGCATTATTTTAACTCTCATTTAAAATATTTCTAGTACAATTAAACAACTCACAATAACTTTTTTTTCTAAATAGAGTGATTTTAAAGTTAGAGTCTTAGAGATGGACTAAAAGCAAAATAATGTGTATTATAGAGATGAAAAACAAAATAATTATTTTGTAGAGACCTAAAGAAAGTGTGCCATATTTGCAATGACTAAAGTCCTATATAAGCCTACTAAAAAAGTATCTGATAAGCATGTTTTGTTTTAAAACACAACAAATCAAGTCATTTTAACCTGCTATAACAGGTTGTTTAAAAAACTTAAAACAATTGACATATCTTTTTTTGAAGAGGAAATCGCCTATATTGATATCTTTAGAATCAGGATCGTTACATCAATATGAAAATGATCAACATTGACTACAACCTTCACCTTCCAACTACTACTTATAGCCCTACGATTAGACATAGAGACGATCACCCCTAAAGGAGCAATACAAATCCCTAACCTTCAGATAGGCTTAATGCAGCTTTCGCTAAACAAATAGACCCGTCCCCCACTAACCATATCAAATCTAGCCGAAACCTCAGTCATCGTAATAAACCAAGTACCATGAACTTTAACAAAACGATAAGAACAGATTTCCTTATAAAAAAAATCTGAATAAAACGAAATTAAAAAAGATAAACTGATGGACCAGATGACCCATGGCAGCGGCTGGAACCCTAGTATCACGATTCCTCCATGACGATGGTTCAGGAGGGGGCCGAATCATCACCACTTCATATTCATCCTCTATCGCTCAAATTTGTCATAAAGGTTGGTCAACTACGATTAATACCTCCCTTAATTACATTAAAGAGCCTAATAATGCATAAAAACGTTACAATAATTATCATTAAGCCTTGTACATGCACCAATAACTCATGCGGTCAACTCTCTTCAATGTAACATAAACCATCAAATTCTTGCTCTAACAGTATGGGGGCTTATTTGACACTTTTCTCAAAAATTTATAGAAACACATATGCATAAAACTACTCACGTTTGCAGGTGAAGAAAAAGAATATTTAAGTTGCAATTCTGTAGACAAGTCAAATGTATTTGAAGAAAAAGCATTTGAAGCGTTGACACCACATTTTCTCAATTCATTGAGAACGTCAGGTCTCCCAAATGACAAGATAAGACTTAATGTTTGAACTCCAATAATGTTATTAAGAAATAAAGACCCGTCAGAGGGACTATGCAATGGAACTAGATTGATTGTCACGGGGCTTGAAAATCATGTCATCGGAGCAAGAATCATACTCCCTCCGTCCCGAAAAGGTTCGCCAAATTGATTTTTCTCGGTCAATGACAATCAACTTTGACCAATCATATTTTCTAATACAAAATTATTTTGAATATGAAAGTTACATCAAAATGTTCCTTCTTCGAAATATTTTCATAAAAGTATAAAATTTATAAATTATATATAAATATAATAATTAAAATTATTGTCCAAAGTTTGCCATCATTGACCAAGAAAAGTCAACATGGCAAACCTTTTAAGAATAGAGATAGTATCAGAAAGCAATAGTGGAGATGAGATTTACATTCCTCGAATGTGTATGTCCCCTTCTCAATCACCATGGCCTTTTGAACTTGTTCAAAGGCAATTTCGAATAATGATCTCCTATGCTATGACAATCACCAAATCTCAAGGACAATCACTGGAAAGAGTTGGATTATACCTGCATAAACCTGTTTTTAGTCATGGACCATTATATGTGGCATTATCGAGAATTACTAGCAAACACAGATTGAAGATATTAATTAATACATGATAAGGATGGAAAACCGTCTAACACTACTACGAACGTTATATTTTAAGAGGTTTTCCAAAACCTAATGTTCAATATTTTGTCATAGTTTATCATCAATATTTTGGCTATGTTCGGCAAACCATTTCAGTCCATAATGGGCTGAAATTTTTAATGTTCAGCCAATAAATATAAAAATAGCATTGTTCGGAAGGAAGGCTGAAATTAGCGAAAGCTGGAAAAAGGGGGCTTATTCAAAACGTTACTACCTCTAACGTCTGAGTTCAAATGATCAGATAACAGTTAATACCTAAATAATCCGGTTTGATTGCCGACTATCATTCTGCATGCATCCAGGGCCGAACCCTCTGTTGAGGCAAAAAGGCAACAACCCAGGCCCCAAAAATTTGATAAATAATAAGGGCCCATAAATAATTGTATTCTAGTATATATACATTTTTTTTCTATTTTATTAAAATAACTACAATACAAAAACTATTAATCCAAATAATATCATGCAGCTATGTGGGATTAATTATATGATGTAGGCATATTAATTAAATTACTGCTTACAAATCTTAATATCCAAATTTTATATTATTCAAAGACCTTTTACAAAAATTTGACTCGGACCAAAAAAATATTAGAATCGGCCAAGCATCGTTATCCACTTAAAGTTCTTATTCTGATCGATGTTTGGAGAATTGGAGCATCATGGAAATGGGGATACTGAAATTTAGATGGCATGGTTTGATTGGCCAACTTAAATTTTAGAAATTATTTGCTCCTCGATATCTAAAGTAATTAGATATAAATATACATATACAGTACACACACATTCTACAATCTTAATATTATTAAAATATAAACCACGAAATATATTATAACAAAACGAGTTTACTTCATTCAACTAGTGATTCAGATTCAACACTTCAAAGTTGATTTACTTTTAACTACATTTATTTTATAAACATGATTGCATGAAATTCACTTATCTTACTAACTTTCTACCGCAAAAACAATTTTTAAGATAGTTCTACTTTTTAATTTTAATTAGATCATGTATACAAATAAATGCACGGATTATTTTTTCTCTAATGAATAAAGCTATGGTCACGTTTGTTTAGCCGCGCAATGGGCAACGTGTTCAACCCCTCCTAAACCAAATTTCTCGCTCCCATAATTACCAAATGAGGGCCGCCGCCTTCAACATTGCTCGTCTTCATTCCCAAGTTTACCCGCTCGCTGGCTCTGGCTAGCCCTAACTTCTCCGGTCTCCACCGCCGTAATCTGCAAATTTGAATCACGTTTACTATAATAACGCTGTATGTTCACTGGTGGAAAAACGGCCATTAGAGGCGCTTCTGAAGAGGCGCGTGCGGCGCTTCGAAGCGCCTCCGATTTATCCGCCGCAAATGCTCTATCGGAGACGCTTTTTTGCTAGAAGCGCCTCTAATATTTTTAAATTTAATTTTTTATTTCGACTATTTGCGGCGCTTTTTTTAGTATAAGCGCCGCACGCGTGGTATCTTCCAGCATTATTTGCGGCGCTTTTGAGGTTAAAAGCGCCTCCGACTTGGTCGGAAATCACACATTAGAGGCACTTTAAAGGTTAAAAGCGCCTCCGAAATATAATGTTTAGAAATCACACATTAGAGGCGTTTTTTTTATAGAAGCGCCTCTAATTTCATTTTTTTTTTGAATGCAGATTTTGCAATTATCATATATCCTGTTTTATTTAAAAAACACTTAAAAGATATTTACATGACCATTCATTCGTAAACTCCATATTAAACGTACAAATTGTTTCATTTAGCAATCAACTCCATAAAAGTTCAAATATTCCATTACAATTAAAAGAAATTACATTAAAATCTTCAAATGTCTAAAAATCCTACATATTCATAACTTCATCTACAAAAAACCTTGCCCATACATTTCTGATTTTATCAAACTCTTCCTTTGAATATGGTTCAGTTCTTGAATTCCAAACCTGAAAGCATTCATAAAGAACATAAATAAAATGGATAATATTAAACTAACTTATATATAACTAAGTTATATGATGAAATCCACTTGTTGAAGCATATAAATAAAATACATGTCCAATATCTGAACTTCCAACATAAGATATTACTTCTCACATAAACTTCATGTCATAATACCCACATTCTCTATTACCCGTTTGCCTTGTGCACTTTAAATTGATGAAAAATATACAATATTATTACATAATAATAATTCTCAGTGCACACTTATAATTCTTTTAAATAACTCTTTTTTAATTAAAGCATAAATAATATAAATACGAGTAGATATATGATCCATTTTACCTTGATGTCATGCCATCTAATTGATTCGCCTCGACCCTTTTGTGTGGAAGCAACCCTTCTTTCCTCATCTCTTCAAAAAAAAACAACTTTCCAGCTTATTACTCCTCATCTCTTCAAAGAATATTTACACTTACAATTCACTTATTAATGGTTTTTGCAAAGCTGGAAATATTTCCCAAGCAGTAAAGGTGATGAAAGAAATGGAAGCGTTTGGCATTCTACCTGACTGTTTTACCTACACTACACTAATGGATGCTTATTGTAAATCTGGAGAAATGGCAAAGGCACACGATCTTCTGAATAATATGCTATCCAAAGCAATTCAGCCCAGTATAGTTACCTTCAATGTTTTGATCAACGGGTTCTGCTCCTTAGGGATGCTTGAAGAGGGTAGGGAGATTTTGGGTTGGATGTTGGATAAAGGTATACATCCAAATGCTACCACTTACAATTCTCTGATGAAGCAATACTGTATTAGGAATAACATTCATGTCGCATCTGAGATTTGCAAGGGGATGGTCAGAAAAGGTGTTAAGCCGGATGGTAATTCATATAACATATTGATAAGAGGACATTGCAAAGCTAGGAATATGAAGGAAGCTTGGTTTTTACATAAAGAACTGGTTGGAAAGGGATATAGACCAACAGTTGATACATATCATGCACTCATTAAGGGTTTCTTGAAGAGAAAAAAGTTTTCTGAAGCAATTTTTTTTTTTGAAGAGATGAGGAAAGAAGGGTTGGCTGTAGGTAAGGAATTATACTGTTTATTTGCAGATAGAGTATGGAAGGAACTTGACTAATTACCAGCGGAAACGACTGTAGCTACGGCCGGAAAGCAGTAGACGGCAGGTACGTACAACACAGGAGATTTCGTTGTCCTTAGATCATCAGTCTTGTCTAACTAAGCAGCAAAAGAATCAACAAAATGGTCACTCTGAACCTGAAATAGAAATATTCAGGCAATAAGTAAAAGGGTGTGTACACTCATTTACCAAATGGAGTTAAACATTAGATATCAGCACACATTAAAATGTATTTATTAATCCAGAATGTCATACCTTGAAGGGATACAATTGCCTTTACACTCCTCTTGACCACCAGTGTAATAATTTGCATCCCTTGCATTTTCACCCGTTGCTACTCTATCTCTAAACAGAGGTTCACAGTAAACTTGATACATTTCCAGATTCTTGCCTTTGAGTTTTGCACATTCAGGATCCTCCTGTTAGAGATGGAATATAAAAACTGTCTTTAAACTGCACTTTAAAAACAGAACTTGAAAACAATTTTTAAAAACTGGAACTTTGTAAAAAGTGCACTTTAAAAACAGAACTTGAAAACAGTTTTTAAAAACTGAAACTTTGTAAAAAGTGCACTTTAAAAACAGAACTTGAAAACAGTTTTTAAAAACTGGAACTTTATAAAAACTGCACTTCAAAAACAGAATTTGAAAACGGTTTTTAAAAACTGGAACTTCGTAAAAACTGCACTCTAAAAACAGAACTTCCAAACAGTTTTCTCAAAACTGGAACTTTATAATAACTGCACTTTAAAAACAAAATTGGAAAACAGTTTTTTAAAACTGGAAATTGTACAAACTGCAGTTAATAGCAGACTTTAAAAACTGGAAGTTCGTATAGCTGCACTAAAAAACTTCATATGTAGCTACAATCATTAAAAATTGAAATTACTTTAGCTGCACTATAGAAAATAATAAATAAAAGAGTTGCTCATTTAAACTAATAATTACCTGTATTACTGCTGCCCACCAATCTGGTGTAGCATCAATGCTCTTCGTAACCGGATCCCATCCAAGGCCAGATTCTTTCCTCATTAGCTTATCATAAGCTTTCCATTCTTTCTTCATCTTATCCCAATGATTCTTAAGTTGCATTTTGTTAAATGTTATATTTGTATGTTTTTTCATGTTATCAATCAAGTTTTTCCAGCCCAACCTATTAAAATGGTTACCGGGCCTATTACCATTTCGCACTTCAACAAGACATACTTCGGTCATATGGGTTGCATGGTCCCAATGAAATTTTTTGGAATCATTTTTTTGTTTCCCTTCGTCATCAAAAGTACTAACTTTGTGAGATGTCATACCTGAATTTAACATACTATTAGCAAACTTGATTCACAATTTCATACTCCAAACCCGATTAAATCTTGTTAGCAATATGAATTTATTAAAAGTGATCATAAAAAGTGCAAAAAGTAAGTTTTTTCTTGCATGATCAAGCAAAAGTAAGAAGCTTGTGAACAGATTCTAAGCAAGAATTACCCAAAATGAACTTTAAAATGGTGACCTAATTAAAAAAAAAATCTCAAGCATATCTCAACCGTTAATGGTGAAAATCACAAGCATATGACTAACCGTTAATGAGCATTACCAACCAGATACTTTACAAAACACTAGTATTATATGGAAGATATAATACTTTACCAGACCCATTACGAATGGTAATCATGTTACAAGCAGCACCTCTCACAACCAATCCAAAATTCCACCTCAGAGCAACATATTTGGCATATTTGTGCAAACAAACAAAAAAGTTAGGGTTCTACTAAATTGTTTCATTTATTTTAGTATAAAAACAACATAAGCGTAAAACACTCATATTACAACCAACAATTTGATGTGAACCGGTTGATCGGAAAATAAACACATTCACATTATTATACTTACTTTATAGCTAAAAAAATCATAAAAATGCCAAAAAAGTAATATAAAAAGTAAAATATGCGAAAAAATTAAATAAAAATACATTGGCCTTAAGTGTGCGGCCTTGACATCTACCAACGTCCGAGAGCTCTCGAAGGCAGTTGGAATCCATAGCGGCGGCGACAAACACACCCGACGACAAAGAAACTCATCGACGGCGGCAAGCAGAGCGCTAGGCGGCAGCGGCTAGGAGCCTAGTGGACAGCGGCGCAGAAGTCAGCGGCAAGCAGAGCATCGGGCGGCGAGGCTGGAGTTTCCGTCCGGTCGCCACATCAAGGGTTGGACTTACAATCGTATTCGATCGTTTTGATCGAGCGCTAGGGTTAGCAGATTGAAAAGCGTAGGAGGAGCTTATTTGATAACACCTAGATGATAGAACTTAGAAGCGCCACACGCAGTAATTGTTTTTAATCGCAGGCGCTTGGTCCGTGAAGCGCCGCACGCGTGATGATCCGAAAAAATTAAAAAAAGGTTTGGAGGCACTTCTTTCGTAGAAGTGCCGCACGTGTCCCAAATTGTAAAATAAAATTGAGAGCGGAAATAAGTTTGGAGGCACTTCGGACTTAACAAGCGCCGCACGGATGCGAAAAAAATTAAAATTAAAATCATACAATCGCTGCACACTCTTAATGGCTGCCATCTGTTTTGTTTCCAAAGAAATCACATCTCCAATTTTTTTTTCATGAAGAATAGCATTGGATTCATGGTTTTGTATATCTTGTTGTTGTTGATATTTGTAGTTATCTTCTCTCTGCCCACCACTGACTTTTGCAATTTATGTAGTATACGTTAATTCAACCACAATTTTGGAATTATGTTTTTGATAATATGTAATTGGTTCTTTGTGTTTGGCTTGTTTACTTTAAGGTTTAAGCTATGGAGGAGCGAGACAAAATCAGTGAACTTCCTGCAGATTTAATTGACAAGATTATGGGAAAATTGTGGATTGGAGAAGCTGCTACAACGGCCGTCTTAAACACTGTCTGGAGAGATGCTTGGTACAATCTTACTGAGATTGATTTTGATGATTCCTTCCATCATAACATTTACTCAGATTTTGATGATGACCCAGCCACTTGGCATGATACAATCAACGATTACCTCAAGAAGCACAATGGAAATATTAAAAAATTTGTCGTTTATTTCGATCTGAAAGTATATATAGGTGAATTCGATAAGTTGTTCCTTTCTGTCACAAAGAAAGGTGTTCAAGATCTCGACCTGCGGATATATAGTGATGATGGTAGGAATTACCGGCTGCCGCCTTGCATCCTTGAATGCCCTACACTGAAGACTTTTCGTGCGTGTGGTGTTAAAATAGACCAGATAACACCCCGTTGCATGTGTCCTAATGTCACTTTTCTTAGCTTTGATGGTGTTCATTTTGATGCAAGTAGTCTTCAACTTCATTGTGTTGATCTTCCAAAGCTCCAAAGTCTGACATTTAGAAGATGTAAAAACATCTCTCATTTTAACATTACTGCTCCGAAACTTGGTAATTTATCAATCGAAGAATGTTACATTGGCAGTGATGATGAATGCCATAGTAATAGTGATATTGATTACTACTCTGATGATGATGATGATGATGATGATGACTGTAAGGAATAATTGTAACTAGATTTTGATGATGTTATATTAATTAGGACTTTAGAGTACCCCTTCTTTAGATTTAATATATTAAAAATTTTCCTTGTAAAGTTTCTTAGAGTTGTCGACTGACAGAAGACCTCCAGAACAGAAGACCTTCTGACAGAAGACCCTCTGATAGGCTTTGTCCTAACAGAGGACCTTTGGCTCTCTACTTCAGAACAGAAGACCTATGGGTCTCTGTTAACCTTTACACGGACAGAAACCCTCCTGGTTCTCCGTTGAGCATTTCGTCAACAGAAACCCTCAAGACTCTCTGATAGTCTTTTCCAACAGAAGTGCTCAAAACCTTCTCTGATCGACTCTCTGCTGAAGACACCAGAAGGCCTGACACTTAGAGAATTTTACCAAGCCGGTAAACCAACTGAAGACTCCTTCAACGGCTAGGAATCTTGAACGGAAAAGCTACAGTACGCGCATTAAATGCACATTTAATGCCTCCCGTACTCTGTAGAGTAAATGCAGATGATTGGCCGCAATGTCAGGATAACACTATCCCAAAATAGTAACCCGCCAACTTTCCTGGGGTCTACCGGTCAAGTCAACTGCTCACACATTTAATGCAGTTGTCCTCCTCCTCCAACGGGAAGACAACCTCAGTATAAAAGATACATTACGAAGAACAACAAATAACTTTGCTACAACAGTGCGAATACAACGACATTCAAACAACTAAAACGCACAAGCCTCCTTGAGATCAAATCCTTATCACTCTCTACAAGAGAAGGCAGACGTCGGAAAGATTCTTACTTCCAACTCAAGCAAAGTTCCATTCGTTCTTCAACACTTCAAGCACTTCATCTACAAATCCTTTGTAACGAAGCTAGTTGGAAAGCATCTGTTCTATCAAGAACTCTTCTCTCACGAGAAGGACGTCCAAGTAATTGGACCAGTGAAGTGGTGATACTTCTGGGAAGCTCAGCGAAAGGACCAGTCTTAAAGGAAGCCAGGAAGTGCATCCCAGGAGACATCTAGACTTGAAGAAGATGTGGAGAGCTTCTTAAGTGCTAGGACTAAGACGTTGTAAACGGACGTTTTTACAAGCTTAGTGGAACAGTGGATTAGAGGAACGAGTTGTTCCTTGAACCACTATAAAAATCCCTGGTGTCATTTACTTACTGCATTTACTTATCGCTTTTAGTTAAAACTGATTAACTCCAAAGACTTGGTCTCTGTGTTCAGCAGAACGTGTCTTGTGAGTTAACAGAAGGCCTACTGCCTTTGCTTCTCTGAGGCTAATCTGACAGAACCCCATCCGCTGCCAGTCTGTTCAGCCAACAGAACAGGCTATTCTGTTAAATCTGTTATTTAGCTTGAAAAAGTTTTAAAACCAGTACAGTCTATTCACCCCCCTCTAGACTGTACCTAATATAACCAGGACCAACAAGTGGTATCAGAGCCTCCTTGTTCTAATAATCTTTTAGGTTATTCTCTGAACAAAGATCCACTTGTTTTCTGTTTGCCTCATTTTTAATCTGATATAATGGATCACTCTCTTTCTAAGAATCTTATGTTCTCAGATCTTAAGTTTGATGACTGGAGGATCCGAATGAAGGCACATCTCTGTGCTCTGCATGATGAGATGTGGGAAGTACTTGACATTGGGCCATTCACAAGTTTCCAGAAGGTCAACCCTGAGCACGCTATAGATAACACCAGACCTCAGATGATCAATAAAGCCAAATCTGAGTGGACTACTAAAGAAAGAAGAAAGTATAACCTGGACAACATTGCAAAAGACATTCTTTACAAGTCCATAGATGACAGATATTTCAACAGAATAAAGAAGTGCAAGACTGCCAAGGAAATCTGGGATACTCTTGAGCTCATTGGAGCTGATGATGAGCAAGAGAAGGACAACAAGCTGACCATTGCCAACAAGAAGTTTGATGATTTCAAGCTTCTCCCTGGTGAAAGCATCTCCAAGATGTATGACAGGTTTCTCACTCTCACTGGAGAGATCTCTGAGCTGGGCAAGGAACTTACCACCAAGGAGATCAATCTCAAGGTGTTGAGAGGATTGCCCTCAGCATGGAAGATGAAGATGGTTGCTGTCCAAGCCAGCAAGGATGTAAAGACTTACCCCACAGACAAGCTCATCTCAGACCTCAAAGCTCATGAGTTCGAGATGATTGAAGAAAAGGAGGATGTACCAGAAGAAAGGACAACTACAGCCCTCACAGCTAGTACATCCAAGGTAAATGATTTTGACCCTTCAATTCTTTTATCTGACGAATATATGACTGCTTTTGCTAGGAGATTCAAGAAATTTATGAAGAATCCCAAAGATGGAAGAAGTCCATCTTCCAGCAGAAAGCCATTCCAGAAACCCAAAGCAACAGAGAGGAGTGGTGAGCTTCTCTGTTACAACTGCAGACAACCTGGACATTTCAAGGCAGATTGTCCACATCCAAGAGTGTCCAAGAGACAAGGACATGAGGGAGAAAAGAAGAAATTTGAAGACAATACCAGAAGGAGGAAAGCTCTCGTCACAGAACAACTTGAGAAAGACCCCCTCTCTGAGACAGAATCCAGTTCTGACTCTGATTCTGATGAGGCCTTCTGTTGCCTTGATACTGAGACAGAAGACCTATGCCTCATGGCTCATTCTGATGATGAGGTAACCTCTACTTCTACATCTAGTTTTTCTTCGGTAGGCTTAGCTTTTGATTCTGATTCAATGTCAGAATTTTGGGAAGAGTTTAAGGCCATCCAAGTCACTTATTCCTCTGTTACAGAAGAAAACAGTAAGCTGAAGGTTGATATTCTTGACTTAAGAAAGGAGGTTGAGATCAAAATCAATCTTCTAATTAAGGAGAGAGATCAACTGGAAGCTGAAAATGTTTCTCTTTTCAAGAGAATAAGAGAAATTGAGCCTCTTGAGATTAAGTACAAAGCTTACCAGAAGGCCCAGTCTTCCATGGAAAAGATTTTGCTTGATCAACAGATGGGCATTGGTTTTGGTCTTGGATATGGCTCAACAGAATCAGGTGAGCCTTCTATAATGCCTAGCACCAGTGTTGCTAAAGAAGACAAGGTCATAGTGCCACTGATTTCTAGCCCCATCTGCCAAGCTGGTGTATCTGGCACCAAGGTTATTCATGAGGAAGTCAGACCAGAAAAAGGGAAGATAAAGGTTCAACAGAAACCCCTTTTGAAAATAAATGAACCTGGCAGAAAACCTAACAACAGAAAGGGTTTTCAGAATAACAGAAATAAAAGACAAAGCATTAACAGAACACCTCATGATAACCATGCTAGAAATGATCACCAGAAGGGTAGATATCAAGAGAGAGTTAACTTTAGGCAGAAGAGGTTGGCTAGTCAACTTCAGAAGCCCAAAGCTAACCGCCCCTCTGCTCTTGATAGTATATGGGACTTCTGCCCAACAAAGAAAGCTATGTAAAAGTACGTAAACAAGAAGCATGACCCTTGATAAGTCCATTTTTGTACTTATTTTTCTTATCAAATTTAAGTGATTTTGGATTGAAAAACAGAAAAACAAGGCATGTTTTATATATTTTGGTTCAAGTTTCGTGAAATCAGGTAAAAATCACATCCATGATATGTTTGATGAAATTTCGGGTCAATTTAGCACAAAATGCGTCAATTTGAGTGACAAATGATATCATACCGAAAGAAGGAAGCATAATTTCAAAGTGGTCCAGAAGGGAAAGTTGAAGAGCACAAAATACAGAACAAGACAGACAAAAAACCTCACAGGCGCCCAAATAGGCGCCCAGATTGGCCGCCTACCGTTGTTTGAAAAAAGTCAACATTTTCTGAAATTGGACCGGACCAGAGAAAAACCGAAGGCGGCCGACACTGGACGGAAGGCGGCCGCCTTAGATGACCGTCTGCGGCACAAGGTGACAAACCAACCACCGGCCGGTGGGATTTGACGGCAAGCGTCCAGACAGGAACGGCAGGCGGCCGCCTGCTGGACCGCCTGCGGCGGATGAAGTGAACGGCGTCACGCTTGTCGGTGACATGACGGAAGGCGGCCGGGATAGGGCCATAGGCGGCCGTCTGTTTGGCCGTCTACGAAATTTTTCGTGCTATAAATAGCCCGATTTTTGCTGAACTCAAACACACCTCTTCCAACCCTAATTCAGTTCAAAAAGGTCCAGTTCTTCAGCCATTTCCGCAACTCCAAGGTCTTTTGGGAGAGAGAAACTTCAAATCTTCATATCTTCTTCATTTTAGCTTCAAATTGTAAGTTCTTTAAATGTATTTTCATCTTCTCAACGAGTAGAATCTGAATCTGTGCTTTGTTTTCTCGATCTGTTCTTCGAATTTTTCTAGAATATTTATCTAATATTTCGCATTTTCTTCCATAAATTAAATAAAATAGTTGTTGATGTTGAATTCATTTCAATTAATTATATAGTTGTTCACTAGCCTCAAGGTTGTTATTTATCTGAAGAAACTTAATTTTCACGAAGTAAAAGTAATTTTTAATTAATTTCGGTAATTAGTTGTTATTATTGCATAAATTAAATTAATTACACAAAAATAGAAAAAAATAGTCTCGGCCCTAATTCCAGTTTATTTCACTGTAATATCACCCCCAGTAGTCAATAGAAAATTTAGAACGAATTTAGCCTATTTTTAATTGCCTTTTGTATTTTATAGTTAAAAGTGGGAAAATTATCAATTAATTGTTAAAATTGGATTTTAGGTTTGAAAATTCGTAAAAAATTCCAGAAAGTCATATTGTAGTCCCAGAAAGTTTATTTTGACAATATCTTATTTTTGTTTAATTTTTGCTATTATACATGTTTAATTCCTTGTTAATGTTTAATTTATTTACCATATTGTTGAATGCAAAAATAATGTTTAGTAGCTAATTTTTTTTTGGGCATGAGTTGAGTAAAGGAATATGGATTGACTTTTAATCCGAAAATTAGGGGTTAAAATTAATTAATTGAGCTAGTTATTCAATTTGATTAATT